TGAGGGTGTGTGTGAGGGAGGGTGTGTAGGAATGGTGTAAGGAAAAAAGGATGGGGTGTATAAGAGAATGGGGAGTGCAAGAGAGTGTGAGGGGGTGTTTGGGAGTGTGAGGGGGGTGGGGGGTGGGAGAGGATGAAGGAGAATGGAGATTAAAGATGAGGTTGTGTAAATAGACAAAACTGCAAAATATGAAAATATGAAAACCGAAAGTGATTTTGTGAAAAAAGACGATGGTATCGTGGGCGAAGATGGTTCAGTTGTAGAAGTGAAGGTGGAAGCAGTCGATGTTGTACGAGTAACAGTAGTGCGAAGCAATAGACATGCGGATTGTAATTGGCTATGTACAACAGTCCCAAAAATTGGTTTAAAAAAATGACATCTGTTCAGAATCATAGATCAACCCCAGGTGTGGTTTGGTTTGTTATTGGTTCTATCATGTTGCAATCGTGTTTCCAGGAAAAAAAGAGTGTTTCCAGGAAAAATCGTGCTTCCTGGAAAAAAAAAGAATTAATTGATTGAGTTAGATCTATGGTGGAACTTGCACAAACGACCACCTCCCACCCGCAATCCTTTGTATGTGTATTTTCTACCTATTAACTGCCCAAGACGTCTACCTGTCTAGGACAACAGCTTTTCTCCTCTACGATTGGTGATTTACTTTACTTTTATCTGCCGCTTATACCCTTTTGGGTGTCGCGGGAAGAAAGAGACGTCTCTCTGTTGCCAGCCGGAGAGCTTGGGTCAGGGGGATGCCGTGGGTGGTTAATGTTTCCCTGACTCCATCTATCCAGGTCTTTCTCGGTCGCCCTCTGGCCTTGTTGCCATTGTTTTTTTTATGCAGGCACGTTGTGCTGGATGGTGTGTTGGTAATCGTTGGAGATGTCCGAACCATTTGATTTTTTGGTGTTGGATGTGATGCATGACATCATTTGTGCCCTCCATTTCTCGGATTACAGAGTTTTTAATTTTGTCTCGCCTGGTCTTGTTTACTGCTTTTCTTAGACATCGCATTTCACATGTTGTAATTCTTTGCTCTTATGCCTTGTTCGTGGTCCATGTTTGGCATTGATAGGTGAGTGTTGGGATGAATATGGTGTTGATCATTTTGAGTTTTGTTGTCATGGTGATGTTAGGATGTTTCAGTAGTGGAGTAAGCTGGTAACTAACATTATTGGCCTTTAGTACTCGTGTTTCAATTTCTCTGTTCAGTCGCCCATACTCTGTGAGTATACTTCCGAGGTACTTAAATTCTTGGACCTGTCTGAGACTGTTGTTGTTGATGTGTTTCCTGTGGATGGCTGTCTTGGACACATTAAACCGCTATACGCAGCACCCAAAGAAAGGACATAGGTAGGAACAAAAAAGAAAGGTTTAAAATCCGCCCCCCCCCCAACAAACAACAAAATAATACAATAACAAGCAAAAAACAAAAACAAAAAACAAACAAACTAAAAGAGAAAACCCCTAAAAAAAGCAAAAGAACCTTCAAGATAACAAGTCTTGCTGAAAAAAAAGAAACGAGTGAACATTCTCTTTCTGAGCAAAGCAAAAAGCCCCTCACCTGAATGGACATGTACCTCTGGAGCATAGTCTGGCTGGCTCCGTAGATGGTCATCTGACCCACAAAGCTGCCCACGGTCACGCTCCAGAATGTGGTCCGACTGAAGGGGCTGGGGTCAAAGTTGAAGAACTCCGTGCGGCCTCCTGCGGTAGACAGCTCCCACACCCGGGCCATTCCTCCGATTTTGTCATGGACACGTTAGATGAGATAAGATACAAGCAGGTCATTTCCGTAACAACTTTGTCATTGGAACTATTAGAAAAGACTAGCTGGGCTCCCTTTCGATGAAAGGAATGGTCGCTGCATTAACATCATCTGAAAGTCATTGGCCTACTATATTTACCCTCCAAAGGAAAGGAGCAATAGATATAGACAGAAAAGGGACACATGTCATGTGTTTCCAAGTTGCCAAATATCAAACCTGGCGGATTTTCAAAAATTACAGAGACAGAAGCGTATTGATTGTTCCCAGTAGCAAGAAAAAGAATTTTGAAAAGGAGTCCAGAAAAGCGATGATGGGCATCAAACGAAAGGATCACAGTCGAATTTAGCACCAAGTAAAAAAAAGAAAACATGAGGCTAGGGGTCGCACACTAAGTACTCAGTATGATGCGATAATGTGCGATAGTATCGAACGGAAGTACGATTTGAAATAAACAAACCTGGCGGATTTTCTAAAATTACAGAGACAGAAGCGTCGGCCTACAAAAGCGATCTGCGAAATAAAGAAATGTAGCTTTTTGCAGCAAAACTGTCTCAAAACTGAAAAAACCCCGAAGAGCGTCAGGATCTGGAGAATATTTTAAAAAATCTTTTGGCAAAAACCGCATGTCGATCGATGCAGCCATTAAAAAGCCGTTTGAATAGCAAAATTTGGCCACCACAAATAGATTATAGATTACAACTGTGTCATTCCCCTGACTTAGTCATGGACACGTTAGATGAGATAAGATACAATCGGGTCATTCCCCTAACAACTTTGACAACTTTGTCACTGGATATGTTAAATGAGATAAGGATAAGATAAAAGCGGGTCATTCGGCTAATTTGGTCACTGGACGCGTTAGACAAGATAAGATACAAGTGGGTAATCCCCCCAACTTGGTCACTAGATACGTTAGATGAGATAGATACAAGCGGGTCATTCCCCGTAACAATTTGGTCATTGGATACTTTAGATGAAAGATGATATACTTTTCTTAACTTCCCTTTTCCGGACTATGTTACCTTACGGTGTCGAGGGAGAAGCAAACGACTCCCACCCCCCCTCTCTCTCTCTCTCTCTCTCTCTTTTTCTCTCTCTCTCTCTCTCACTCTCTCTTTGTCTCTCGCTCTCTCTCCCCCCTCTCTCTTTTGTATTATCACGTGTTGTATGATTATGTTCTTCTTGATGAATATTTCTCTGAACACCGCTACCCCCTCTTTTTTTTTAGCATCCCCCTTCCCCAGTTTATGAATGATTTCTGGTTTTATGCTCTGGCTGCTGTACTTTCTAGTGATAGATAGCCTTGCCAGATGTCCAAACCATTTAATCCTTTCACTGCCAGATCTGCTATGTAAACCTATCAAATACACGCAGTTGTTCACGACACTGTAGGACTTGGCATTGAAGGAGTTAATTCGTTGTTTTTCTATGTATTGTAAGCAGGGAATTGAGCTAACTTGTGATCTGCTTCTTTTCGTTTCTCAGCTGTCTTCTCCCTCGCTGTTCAAAGTTTTCCGCAAGGCATCTCATTTCACAGGATAGGATTATAATATAAGACAAAGTGTGATAAAATGGTAAACGGGAAGAAAAGAAATACGACGATAACATATCGGTTTCAACTGTGTAGTAGTTAGGTGTTTCGCTGTTGAACACAGAAAACCCCTGTTCGATTCGCTCTTCGGGAGCACTTTCATCGGGTATCTCTGTCTCTCTACTGGAATGTTAAAGCTGCAAAAGCCCTACTTTTGTCTCCCACAACAACATGAAACAAAAATACAGACTAAAAAACGAACCATGTGCTAGTGACTGAAGTGTCTTTAGGCCAGTCCCATAGGGGGAATATTAACATTGTCTTATGCACAGTAGAATTGTAGATGGGCTGATTTACCATCGTCATGCTAATACTGTGCCGGAACAACATAGGGGGAACTGCAGCCTGCTGCTTTTTATTTCCCCATCCTTACTATCGTCATTTTCCCTCTACTTCTTTTGTATGTTCGTCACTCTCTAGTGAACTGCTATTTCCGCTGTGCTTTGATAGTCGAAGCAGACTTTGTGCTGTTGAGGCTAGAGAGGTGAGCAGAATAAGTCTGATTTCCCGTTTGGAATTCTGTGTTGACGTACCCACCTTCCAACAATGACGACTGCAAAAAGTCCTGCTGCAACAACAAACGTCTGGAACGTGTCTGTCCAGAGGACCGCCCGCAAACCGCCCATTGAGGTGTAGAACGTCACAACAGCGCCCACGGAGAGGATGGAACCCCACAGGGAAAACCCGGTCACCTGAAACAAAGGGCGGGCACAGACTTATTATGTCATAACGGGAAAACCCCAAAGATAGTACTATTTTATAACCCCTTTGGGACAACCCAGTCTTTGAGAGTACGTGCGTATCATTGATTTGAATTTTAAAGGAAGTGGTTATTCTCACCACGGGTGGGAATAACCTAGATTTCTATGACACAAAATCTAAAGATTACTCGGAGTCGTTATCAAGATATTCAGAGAATTGAATTTGAAAAAGCTTGACGTGTTGTGAAACTCAAAATCTTTGACGTCAAATTTCTCGAAACTGGGTAGGCCTACTGAGCAGATAGAACTTTGTAATTCTGAAGTACTGAAGTGCGAGTGGCACCTTTCTCACTAACGACCTTCACTTCGATCCAAATTGATTCCCATGGTACGCGCTACAATGACGCGCAATTTCGCTAGAGTACATGATCTAGGTTATTATAATTGGTTGCTGTTCAGGACAAGCGAGCTAACCCAGATTTCAGGAGTTTCCAGAAATCTTGACCTTCACCAAAAGTGGGCATTTCCCTGCCTATAGGAGAAGTTTGATTTAATTCGTATGTATATTTGTTTGCTTATAGAGAAAACTCTCGTCTTTAAAAGAACTGAACAAGGGGCTAAAATTTTACGTTCGATTTTCTCAAAACATCATTTTTCGGAATAGCGCCCTGGTGCTTAAAAGCGACCAATTCAAGTCTATGGTGTGGGCACATACGTAAAACCCTGTTATTATAAATAGAGAGTAGGGCAGTGGTACTGACTGAAGATGTCTTTAGGCCATTTCCAAGAGGGGTGGAGGGGGGGATATTAACATGTTTTTATGAAGGTTAGAATTGTAAATTAGCTGATTTATAAATGTCATGCTCATTCTGTGCCGGAACAACATAGGGGGAACTGTTGCTTTTTCTTTCCCCATCCTTATTATCGTCATTTTCCCCTTTACTTATTTAGTATGTTAGTCACTCTCTTGTGACCCGCTATTTCCGGAGTGCCGTAATAGTCGAAGCAGACTTTGTGCTGTTACGGTTAGAGAGGTTAGCAGAGTAAGCCTGATCCTCCGTTTGAACTTTACTGTTGACATCCACCCCTTGGCGCTCATATGACCTTACGCAGTTAGAACCGCCGAAAAAACTCTACTAAAAAAACCCCTGAGTGTTCTAAAAGACTGTAAGGGACCCTCCCCCCCTTGCCTGAATTAGAATGTAGAAAATGAAAGCAAGATGTTCAATGCCTTTATGTCCTGTTCAGTGACACAGAAACTGCTGTTATTGATTCTTTATTGTTTTGTTTTTGTTTTTGTTTTGAGTGAGGGGCCCACGTTTGGCTTCTATCGGTAGCAAGTCATTTGGTTTCTTAACAAACCATAATATACATTTAATGTGGTCGTTACGAACAGTATTTCTGTTGCTTCATAAGCTCATTTTTCGCTATTCCTCTCTGCAAAACACCCCTCTATATTTCAATTTTAATACAGTCCACTACCTTGATTTTCTCTTCCGAGATACTCAAACCCTTTCGTTAAAACCCTATCCGTACGTCGTGTTTTA